CCCCCCCCAAAAAAAAAAGCAATCAAACCACAAAAAACCAATCACCACCAAAAAAACCCCAACCCCCCCAACAATAAAGCAACAACAAAAAGAAAAACAAACAAACCACCGCCTCGAATTCAGTGCCGAGCGAGCCTGTCTGTGCAAAGATCAGCCTCAGCGAACAAAAGGGTTTCTCTGGCTGAGGAGCAGGCAGAGGTAAAGACATATTTGGGGCCTTAGCAGTCCTGATACAATCTGTGACAACTTTAGCCATTTATTGGTATTATTTTATTTTGGTTTTGGGTTGGATTTATCTTTTTCCTTGACAAAAACAGTCTGATCCCTGGTAACATGCGTATGGAAACGTGAATAAATTACCAGCTCAGCAACTACCCCTGTGCCTGGTGTAAGAGATAGAGGGAAAAGTCTGTGGCACCTGAACTCCTTAGGCAATAATTTGCAACACCGAGCCTGAATGAGAGCTCTGGGAGCGAGTGCTGGCTTAAAGTAAGTCTGGAGAGACATACATCAAGGCTACCCTTTTCAGGAATTATTATGCATCACGCTTATCTAATTAATGCTTATTAGCCAACCTCAAACTCTGACATGGCGAGATTGTGCTTTCCTCCAACCTGATCTGTCTCTTTCCTCCTTTCGGTACACTGACAGCAGATTTTTTTTTTTTTTAATTTTTTTTTTTACATTGCAAACAAAATAATACTTTACATATGTGCTATTTGATTTCCTACAGTATACAACCAGTTGCAAGTGGTAAATAATATATCATTTTCTTTGTCAGCTACAGCAGATGCTGCTCTTTTAAGTTGTGTAGGCACAAGTACACAGAATGGGGTCTCTAGCCTTCAAGAATTCAAATCACACCTATTGCATTTTATTATTTCCGATAGTTCTGTGGAAGAAGAGTTTTATTTTTTAGTGGTTTTGCATCATTTGTTGTAATGACAATAGAGTTAAGAAAATGGGGGAGGGTAGGAGCTTCCAAGTGGTGGTATCATCTCTCCATCTCCAAACAAAGCAATCGTTTTCTCATAGTGATGATTAATTTTGAATTGCAGGAGTGAGAGTGAAAGCTAAGAATATCAGAGAGTTCTCTCCTTCTCCCCCACACAGTGCAATGCTGGGTGTCCCATCTCTAATCTGTAACCTTTCACTTCTCTCTCTTTCCTGTAGATCTATTTGCATCTCTTTATGTATTACTTATTTTCGGGAGATTCCCTCTTCTTCCCCTTATTCTTTCAGCACGACAAATACATTGTTTGCAAGAATTCAGATTTTCTATTGCTTCTCTATTCACCCCCAGGCATTTTTTATTTTTTTTTCTTTTTCTTCCTCTTTTCTGTCTTTTTAAAATAAGCTCTTTAAAGCGTTTGCGATAACATCTCCGACCTAAAGATTATTTTTCATTGGGCCTATTGTGAGCAGTCGCCGATTTATTGCGCTGCTGCAGAGCTCGGTTTAGGCTACAAACGTAACAAATGAACAACTTGTCCTCTGCGGACTCACCGCGGGATCCAATTAGTTCCTAAACCTTTCGCACAAGTTTTCTAATTATTTTCAAGAGTTGTGGCCTTTATAGGCTTCCCTAAACTCATCAAGACACCAATTCTTTCAAGGATTAAACGCTTCTTAAAATTACTAGCAGCGTTGCCCCCTCAAAACTAATGGATCGATTCTCAGGAGCTTTCTCAGGGACGCCTGCGCGAGTTACTGGGCTGAGAGAAAAAGATCCCCTTTTTTCAAAACTTTGCACGTAAGCGCATCCACGCAGGCTCGATTTGTCGGTTCTTTTTCTTTGTTTGTTTGTTTGCTGGGTTGTTTTTAGCCCCTAAAAGGTTTAAACACGGGGATGCGAGGCAGGGTGTCACGTGACGCCTTCAGCACCTCAGCGCGCTCCGCTCCTGCCCCCCCCCGGGCGGCCCCAGGGGCCGAGCCCGGAGCCGCCTGCCAAAAAATCCCGCTACTCGCAGCGAGCCTCAAAGTGCCCGCAGCACCACAACTATATCCGTACATACAGCCCAGACACTCCCGGAGGAGAGCTCCTGCAAGATTCGCCTTAGATTTTATACACGGACCTATCATAGCTCGCTAGATTTGGTCGAACGAGCATATGATAGCTAATATGTGTGTGTATATACGCACACATACACATCCTTCGCCAATATATCTCCAGTCATCATAGAGACGAAATTAATTTCTTTCAGGAGAAATAAGTCTTTGAATGCATTTCAGAGATTGCAGGAAGAACACGTACCTATACAACAGCGCACCTTGGCTTTTTTCCCAATGTGTGCTTAAATTGTGTATGTATGCATGTATATATGCATACATACGCAATGTTAAGCATTTCCAGCCTAAGTCAGATTTTAGTAAGACGCCCTAGCTCCTACTAACAATTTTTAAGCAGACTTTATAAGAGTTCTGCCCCAAAACGGACATCAAAATAGTGGCCACGGTGTTTGATTAAACACCGTCATCCTTTCCATTTGAAAATACTGCAGTTAAAGACAGCATGGGAGGGGGCGGGGGGAGAAAGAAAGGAGCATATGAAAAATGGTGGACTGTGCAATAAGCAGCGCTCTGATCTATCTCACTGTAACTTTAAAGCCTCTGCCACATTAGGGTTAATAAAAGAGACAAAAAAACTATCAAGTATATATGAATTTAGCCTATTTTTTTATTTCTGTGTGTTCATAGTAAACATTTTTGTAAGTGACAAACACGGGCATATGACCACAGTATCACAATCAAGAAATTTTAAGACGACATTAACAATCACTCAAATTTATGCGGCTTTTGCGCAACACAGGTTACATATTTGCAAGGTTTACCTATAAGTACAATAGGTATTAACATTTCACTACATTTAGAAAAAAAATAAAGGTGACCTGTTAGTGACCACATACATCAAAATATACACAACACAAACTGAAGGCAATCATTAATTTTGTCCCCTTCTGATTCATTTGAACGGGCAGTGCTGCAAACTGAAATAATGTTGCTGTTTTTTTTTTTTTTTTTAAATTACTTCGTACACTGAGTGCATTTTCTAAAACCCAATCTTTGGTCTAAAAGTAAACAAACAAAACAAATGAACAAAAAAAAAAAAAAAAAAGCAATTCGGTAAAGAAAATAATAAAATAATAAATGGCCAAAAGTAGATCTTGGGCATTTTTTCAGTATTAATTCTGCTTAAATACAAATTCTGTTTTAAGTTTTTTATAGTTTTCATAAATTTAGTGGTTTGATTTGGTTTTCTATTTTCTTTCAAGGTCTGCACCCACCGACATATCCATGATAACTTATAATACTGCAAACATGGAGAATCGGGCGGCTTTTAGTGATAGACTTATCATATTTGAGTAAAAAATTGCAAAAGCAGTCACTATTTAGATACACATTCTACTATAATTTTGTCTTCCAAACTTCATAGTCTACAATGCAATCTCCCCACATTGCACCTTGCTGACACTCCTCACCTTGGTGGAATAATAAACAACCCTAAAGACTGAACAAACGTACAGAAAATGGGGGACTTAATAAAAAATACCTGGACTTTTTTGTTTTGCTTTTTTTTTTCCTTTTAATTATCATTTACAATGCAAATGTGTGTAAAATGTTCACTTACAGTCTGATCCCATGGATGTTAATGTATTAAAGGGTTTGAAGAAGACCCCTGATTTTGATGTGTGAAATAATCAGAAAGTCCTCCGGAAAGTCCCGTTGTAAAACTTGGCAAAGAAGGTCTTAAGGACTCACAGGGGAGAGTGGAGGGCGCCTGTGGCGACGTGGAGGAGGAGGCTGCCCTGGCCGTCATTGAAGTGCTGCTTTGAGAAGTCATTGAAGGGTGAGGAACATGGGGGAAAAAGTAACTCGTCTGTCCTGCTAGGAGATTTACAGAGCAGGGGTTTAGGGAATAGGTGCCGGAGCAGGGAACTGACAAGCCACACGGCACTGAGGCGGCCAGAGCTGCTGCTGTGAGGTGATGAGTGGCATAAGGTATCTCTCCATTGACTAGTCTATCAACACTTAACCCATTAGACGTGGAAAAGGAGTGGTTGTTTCCCAAGGAGTTTTGAGTCAACACTGAGCTGTAGGGCATGGGGTGGCTGGGGTAGGCGGACGTGGTCCCATTGTAACTCAAAGTGCTGCTGGCCCGGGGGTGGTGCAGGGAGAGGAAGGGGGACATAGGCCAGTACAAGGATCCTGCCCTATCCATGAATGTCAGTCCGGTGGAGGTGAGCCGGGCGCCTCGCTTAAAGGCCAGCTTGGCCCGAGAGGTGGTGGAGCGCCGGCGGAGCTTGCCGGTGGTGCCCCCGATGAAGACGTCGTCGCTGGAGGGGTCCAGCATCCAGTAGTTCCCTTTGCCCGGGTCGTCGTAGTGGCGGGGCACCTTGACGAAGCACTTATTGAGCGAGAGGTTGTGCCGAATGGAGTTCTGCCAGCCCTGCTTGTTCTCCCGGTAGTAGGGGAAGTTCTTCATGATGAACTCGTAGATGCCATTGAGCGTGAGGCGCTTCTCGGGGCTCTGCCGGATGGCCATCATGATGAGCGCGTTGTAGCTGAACGGCGGCTTCTCGTACTTGCCGTTCTTCTTCTCCCCCTCCTTCCCGCTCTCCCCGTCCTTGGCCCCCTCCGCCGCCCCCTTCTTCTCCTC